ATTACAGAGTTTCCTTTGTTGCTTTAAAACTGAGTTTGTTCTCTTCCAACTGATAAATCAGCACATAGCTTTCAGTGACCTTTGCTGCCCCTCTGTGGTGGTTTTGTGCATCACATCTTACAGTATATCCGTTTTCCATCCATTTTCTCCTGCTTAGTCATAATATTAATATTAATTCATTTAATTTATACTGCACTTTTCACCAAAAAGGCCTCAAAGTGCTACAAAAAAAAAGTATTTAAAAAAGCATTAAAAAAAGAAATACATAGAAATAAAAGAAATAAAATAAAATAATAAAAGCTGTTTTAAAAGAGAAAAAAGAAACAACCAAGGGGGACCAAAAGTTTTGCTAAAAAGAAATGTTTTAAGGATTTTTTTAAAACACTCAGTGGACTGAGGTGCCCTCAAGGTGTCAGGGAGGGAATTCCACAGACGTGGGGCAGCAGCACAAAATGATCTATCTCCCAGTCCTTGTCATGGTTGCGGTGGGGGTCGGTTTTTATCTCCAGCAGTCTATGGGTCCACCTTGGACAGGTGGCCAGTCTGTCGCAGAGCAACCCAGAGACACAAGAGAACACACACTCTCAGAACCTTCTTTCTGGAAGGCAACAGGGCTACCCGCTGCCCCACCATACAGCCCGATCTTTCAAAAGCTCAGTCAAAAACATTAAGGAAAACATTCAGTATCTTTTATTACTTTTTATCTATATACATGTAATTATATGGCAGTTTATGAATGGGGAAAAAAAGTTTTAAAGTAGACAATTGGTACCACATGTTTGATTTGTGTTTTTATTTATGTATTTAATAAATAATCCAAAAAATATCTGGTGTTTATTTGCATCCAGCCCTTCTTACTCTGGAGTCAACTCTATAGAGCATCCACCAGTCTTTTTCTCTGAAGAGTTTGTTGGATAAGATCAGTGAATCGACAGGATAATGAAGATCGAGGATCACCGAGGGTCAGGATGAAAGGTATTGGAAGTTAAAAAGCGGGTTTAGGTTCTTAAACAATATCCATATCTTTTAGCATCACACTCAGTTCTATTAAATATTTCCTCTGAATATAGGAAGACCATGAAACAGAGACATGACCATCCCCCAAACCTCCCAGCCTAAGCAGAGCGAGCTTAAATCTAAGAAAGACTTAAGATTCCCGTGGTAACCCTGGATGAGCTGCAGAGTTCCCCAGCTCAGTTAGAAAAATCTTTTGACTATAAATCATGCAAAAATGTGTCAGAAATAAAAAAACATTCTCGAAAGGACACCCATTAAGTAAGCACAATTAACACAAGGAACCCTTTAGCAGCTGAAACATTGAAGCGCATTATAGAAAAGATCACTAATGGGATATTTTATCCCAGCACTGTGTGTAACATTACCTTGTGACATCATCAATGACCCATCACCCCCCCATCATGGACTGTTCTCCCTGCTGCCCTCAGGGAAGAGGCTTCACAGCATTCAATGCAGGACCAGCAGGTTCTGCAACAGCTTCTTCCCCACCGCCATCACACTGATGAACTGTTGAGAAAACTCTAAATCATGTCAAACACTCTGCATCGCAATGACATCACCAAACCAAAACATTCTTATTTGCATCATATATATTTAATGCT